TTAAAAAAAGTTGATTTATGGTACCTAAGACTAAGACATATAAATCAACAAAGATTAAAATAAATACAAATAATGACAAAAAAAAATTAAACTTTTTGATAAAAAAGAAAATGATTTTATGTCAACCTTGCAATGAAGGTAAGAAACATAAAGAAAAATTTCCTATACAAGGTGTACAAAGAGCCATACAATTATTAGGACTTATATATTTAGACATTTATAGTCCTATGCAACTTCGAACATACTATGGATCTACTAATTTCATCATATTTTTTGATGGTTTATTTAGATATTATCATGTCTATTTAATAAAATACAAAGCTAAAGTATTTGAAAAATTTACTTTATACAAAAAATTTGTGGAAAAATAAAAAAAAAAATTCAAAATTAAAATATTAAGATTTGATAGAAGAGATGAACTTAAATCAAATGAGTTTAAAGATGTGAGTAACAAAAAAAGAATCAAAAAAGAATATATTATAGCATATACATTATAATAAAATGATATTTTTGAAAGAAAGAATAGATTGTTAGTATAAAAAAATCTTGAAATAGTATTCTATTTATAGTTATTTATAATTTTTTGAAATAAATTATCTTCAAAATAAGAATCCTACAAAATTGGTACAAGGCAAAAAAATCCCATTTGAGTTATAGTATAGAAGGCAACCAAATCTATCATACTTTAAATACTTTGTATGTAAAACTTATATTTTTATTTCTAAAGAAAGTAAAAAGTAGTTAGATTCTTATTCTCAAAGAACTATCTTGCTAGCCTACAATGAAGAATCTAAAGCTTGTCTACTCATGAATAATCAAAATTGACAAATCAGTATTTCAAGAGATGTTATTTCAATGAGATTCTACATGATGGAAAAATATTACTATTTTTGAAAAAAGATAATAAAGAGCTTTTAATTGATATAGAATTATTTAAGTATCCTTCAATAATTATAAGATCCAATAAAAAAAACATACATCATGCTCAAAGAATGTCTTTACAATCAATACAACTATCATAAGATCTATATGTATTTAATCAATAGCAAATATATAGTAATTTTCAAAATGTAAGAGAAAAACCTCTTTTTTATATTGATGTAATTGAAGCATGCTTTCAACTTTGATTACATAATAATTAAGAAACCTTACCTCTTGAAGATGATGAAGTCAATTCTACATTAAGAAAGTCAAGTCTTCCATCTAGTTCTTAATCTATAAGAATTATTAATCCAATCAAAATATTGTTAAATTCTACACAAAGAAGAAAAGAATATAAATAACAATGCCAAAAAAATCACTAAGCCCATATAGTTTGTACTAACATAGAAGCTCCAAAATCTATTCAAATAGGATTAGAGAGAGCTGATACTAAAATATGGCAAAAAGTAATTATTGCTAAATTTATATCATTAGATAAAAATAATATATGAAAAATGATAATTTTATAATCTAGTAGAAAACTAATGAATTCAAAGTAGATATTTAAAATCAAAAGTAAAATTGATAGAATTATTAATAAGTACAAAGCAAGGATAGTTGTAAGATACTTTATCAAAGTTCAAGGTATTAACAATATGGAAACATTCTCTCTTATAGTGAAACTTAACTCTATTAAAGCCTTTTAATATAATCTGAAAATACATCAATTAGATTTTAAAACGACATTTTAAAATGGTTTTATAGAAATACACATCTATATGAGTATTATTGAAGGTTTATCCACTATAATACTAATATAATATGTAAATTAATCAAATACTCATATAGCCTTAAACAATCTTCTAGGTATTAAAGCTTAGATCAATATTTAACTCTTTATAAATATTAGCATTTAGAATCAAATGCAAATATAAATATAAAAAGAAGCAATGACAAGAATTTTACTATTTATTACAATATATGTTGATGATTGTATAATTATCAATAATAAGATTGTTTGAAATTCAATAAATTAAAGACATCCTATAATAAGAATTTGGCATGTCAGATAAGGTGAAATCTATTATATTCTATTCAATGCCATCATACAAAATAGAAAAGAAGATTAGATAATCCTTCATCAACAAAAATATTTAACAAATAAAATTAATGAAATTAATATGTTAAATTGCAATTCATTAAGTATATCTATCCAATCACAAATTTGTTTAAGTAATAAAGATAATTTTATCTCACAAGATTATCTATATTCTTAGATTGTTAAAAGTTCCATGCATAATATTGTAAATTTTAGATCTAATTATGCTTATGCAATTAGTAATTTAGTACAATATTTATCTAAATTAGGATCTTTATGTATTTAAATATTAAAAAATAATAATAAAACATATTAAAGGTATCCTAAATTTTGGAACAAAATTCCAAAAATTGTCACAAAGTGATTTCCTACATGAATATTATAATGTTGATTGAGCAAGTGACAAGGACACATGTTGCTCTACTTCTGGTTTTTGCTTCATACTTGCAAGAGGTGTTATTTCTTGAGGTAGTAAGAAATAAAAATCTCTTGCTTTATCATCTACAAAGTTAAAATACATGGCCTTGACCAAAGCCATAACAAAAACAATATGACTGCAAAAACATTTATATGAATTTGGTTTTTTCCAATATGAACCAACAACAATTTATTAAACAATTGAAGTGCAATTACTCTTAGTAAAAATCCAAAAGCAAATATGTAGACACAAAATACCATTTCACAAGAAAAAAATATATTTGCTAAGAAAATTCATTGTAATATGTGCCAACCACACATATGACAACAAATGTTTTTATTAAGTTTCTTCCAAAAGATAAACATTTTCAATGCCTTTCTCAATTATGTTCTTGTATAATTCTTCTATATCCATCTAAATTAACTAAATAAGAAATATGTAATCTAATAATTTACACATTATTGTTCTATTTCAAGCCAATACAATATTATCACCACACACACACCAACAACGATCTTTAAATAACTCAAGGAGTGGGAGACCAACCAATAAGTCAGTTTACTAAATGTCTATGAATTATCAAAATACACAATAAGGGCATCAAAACCACCATCAGCCATAGCAATGCCTATGTTGACAGCTGAACATGTAGCCGTGTTTGCAACAGTAGTTGAGCTAGCAATCACAACAACAGCCAAGCTCGCTACCATAAATGCATCAGCAACCAAGTTCACAGCCTCAAATGCGCCAGTAGCCGAGGTGGTAGTAACAACCACATATGCAGTAGAGCTCAAAGAGGCAAAAAATGCACCTCCATTGACCACCATGTTTGCAAACTTAACTACAACCGCATCTGCATTGGCGCTTGTACAATATACCACATTGAGATTGACAACCTTCACGGTAGCATCCTCGAGCACATCAAGGCTTTCACCAAATTGGCGCCTCTATTGGGCCTCCATTATATCCTTGATCACAGTGGTGCCTCTATTGCATCTTTAGTTACAATGGTGCCTCCATCAAACCCTTGGTTGCAATGGCGCCTCCATCCTATTGACGCCTCTATCAACAACGTCAATATAACTAACTTCTGCACCGAAAGATGGATGTTGAAGCATCCTTGCCGGTTGCTCGACTACATTGCGCTAAAGGTAGACATAGACTCCCTCAGTTTAGTGGATTATTGCTAGAGCCATTGCTCCACTCTTTGACATCTACAATGTCACAATCACAATCCTTCAATCAAAGGACGTGGTGTTGTCACAGTACAACAAAGAGTTATAGAACCTTGTTCTCAATTTATCTAGGATTGGCCTTCTTCATAAAATGAATGATCACTTATACATAGTCCTGTAACCAATCGAGTTTCTTAAAGAGGACGCACTCTGGCTCAAGTACGATTAAGTCGTTGAGAACATCCATAATCAGGGCTCGTGGACTCATGATCTCCTTGCTACCTTGCCAACTCTTGATTGATCCATGGTGTTGTTTAACGTTGCCGATTTGCAATCCACCTGTTGGATGAAATATTGCAGGTCCGTGTTGAGCGTGATAGCAACAATGAGGCTGCCGATGAAGCCCCACTTGTGATGCCGAAACAGCTTGTCGCGCTTCAAACGAGTCAGTTCATTAATCAGGTGCTCAATCCACACCATGCACATCTTGCACGCTTTTGAGCATTGGACGACATTGAACAAGTGGAGGATGGCCACCGCACATTGCTGCGTGTGTACAGAGATGAACCAGCACCGAGGCGCACCATCAACGCACACGACGGCATTCAATGATGCATGAGGTTGTTTCAAGGGCCGATTCCATCATCTTTATTGGTACTCGGGCGGGTTGGCATCCGCCTTTGCCAACACAACGAGTGTTGAGTCCAATTTTTATATCTTGAAATGAGAAAAGGACGCCAATTGCCAATCTCTTAGCAACCTCTCCCTGGATTTTCCAAAGCAAACAGCACGCCCATCTGGCCTCGATTTCAGTGGCGGAGCCTCAATTAATCTAATATCGGTACATGTGGTATATTCCACAAATTAGGAGGCCAGGTTTAACTGTTGGCCATTGCACAGAAGCTGATGATCGGAAAGATTACTCGACGTAGTGGACCTTTGATGTGTGGCATGTGTAGCAACTTAGGAATCTCTCAAGGTGCTTCCGGTGCAACCCGATTAAGGTACGACGAACGGTACTCTCAACGAGGACGATATGAGCGTTCGAGTGCTGGGTTCAACCGCTTCAAGGTTGCACAATGCCACCGCTACTGTGAAATCAGGTTAACCCGGCAACAAGGTGAAAGAGATTCTTGGCAAATAGTGAAGATCGGGTAAATTTACTTTTACATTCTGTGTAGATGTGGTGGAAAGAATGTTTTAGAACACTTGAAATCCAACTGTGGAACCAGCATTCATCTGCCGGATTCAGTTAACTGATACAATTGACCTCCAACACCAATTACAAACCGTAGTCAATTATTTTCATAGATTGACGAAAGAGAAGGATACAATACAATCTAACTTCAACGTCAACATCACGCAGATAAGAAACTAAGAAGAGCGCTGAAGGCAAATTGAGCCAGAGTGAGCACAGACCGTTTTCAATTTTACCAATGTGATGTTTGAGTGGACATCAGAAAGGACACAGCGCATGAAAGACAACTTCCAGGCTCCAATTGAAAGCTTGTGTTTTCAAGGGCTATGCTTTCCCTCGTTCATCTTGTTGAAACTAAATGAAGAGGGCAATTGCTGATCCCATCGCTGGCTAAGTAGATGGCATCCCCGCTACAATGGCTGAAGGTTAAACTAATCCAGATTACATTTTAGCCATGACACAAGGTGCTCAAGGGGTTTTTGTTCATTATGCACCTTGAGGCAACATGGCTGCTGCTACTATTCGACCTTCTTCGTTCAAGATGTTGAATGTCGAGGTTGCATTGGCCTGAAATAGAGAACATTGATTAGAGAACTTGAGAAACACCAAAGGTATCAAAGTAGCCCACACATATAAAATAGCTACTACAATGGGGACATCTCCGATAAGCAGGTTCTCAGATTGTGAAAGATTGGTCAAGCGCAGGAGCAAATTCTTTGACGTTCCTAGTTCAGCATAGAGGTTGGACTGCAAAGAACATGTTACTTCACCCAAAAATTCCCTTTTTCGGAAGTCTAAGTCTACTCCAAAGACAGGACCTCACATACTCCTTACAGTAAGGATTACAGCCTTTGCTCAAGCTAAGCAAATCTAGATGCACCATACAGATAGCATAATTTGTCAAAGATTAAGCATTGAGTACGGACCGTGTCTACAGCTTCTAGCTTAATCCCGTTAGAACGAAGGTAGTCACGCAGCTCTTGGCTGACATGACCCATCCTTTTGCCACACCCCAAAATCAATATTTCTGGCATCACATCAAACATCTTTATTAAAGAAAACAAAGTCCAATGTACAAACTTATCATCATCATCATCATCATCATCATATATATATATATATATATATATATATATAGATTGATGAACCATTTATTTACGCAGCCTGTAGTTCAAAACACCTAGAAAGCAAGATTGGTTCTTGTCATTGCGGATAGATATACCCGAGCCTCATAACTACATAAATAACGTTCTAGGCAATAACCCTTCAAACCGACACTTGATAAACACAGTAGCAAGTCTTCACACGTTGGGATTGTGAAAACTAACAAACAGTTACGGATGCTCAAACACCATGACGGTATGATGATTTTTCTTACCAGGTGCAGGCCGCAAAAGTTCAAATATAGCCAAACTGTTCAAATTCAACCCCAAGTTGGGTTAGCAACGTTGAAGGAGCAGGTTGCCAATAAGAGACACATCTGCTACTGCGATAAGGACTACGAGCAGATCGAGACGTTGTGTTGTAAAAGTCCCAGCGTCTCATGAAACCTCAAACATAACCACGTCAATCCTCCCTATTTTTACACAATGCTTAAAAATCTACTGGAACAACGTAAAAACACATAGTAGGATACCATGGTAGTTGGACTCATTTGGAAGCTCCTTACACTATTAAGAAGCAATACGACAAACAGACGGCTCATACCACTGACTTGTCCCTAGCACAAATATCTGCATACAAGCTATCTAGAACTAGACTACAAACACAAAGGCATGGAAAGGCCAGAAATACCTGTCGGATGTGATTTCCTCAAACGATTTAGGAGCCCATTTTAGTGTGAGACTGCTTAAACATATTATGGAGCCTTCTATCTCTATTCCGTTTGCAAAGAATTTTTTCTCATCGTACCTGTCTCAGCAACACAGGCCCCACTCAACTCTCCGTGATGGTGTTCTTAGCAATCTACCATCTATAAAACATTGTTCTTCATGAACAAGATGCAGCAACATACAGTGAAACTTGCAAAGGTATGTGGATGTACCCATTAATGCGAACTTTGTGTGCATGATTTGCTCCTGCAAAGACATCAAATTCTTCATAATTTCCATAAGCACGTCTGCAAACACCCGAATTCACGTCCTGTGTATGAGAGAGATATGACGTTTAATTTACAGAGAAGTCTACAGAAAAAAAGAACGCAGATTTTTAAAGCTAGACACGAAGTGCATCGACGGACCATTCTAAATATAGGGTGCAGCCCAAGTTCAAATTCATTGCTTGCAGGGTGGGTGCTGCAATTGATAAACTTGCCAACGATCTTCCAAATTAACAGCGACATTCTAAAACCCTAAACCTAACGAGCACTACCATTAACAACAGATTGGTCCTAACATCGCGAGAATTTTGCGCATAGCAAAAACCTGAGACGGGGTAGCCATAACCCTGGCTGCGCGACTCCCTGCATAAGCGTTCTTCCAAATCTCGCCATTATATATTGAAAAGCTTGCTGTCCCAGCAAGACTCTGCCCGTCTAAGCCACAGTACCAAAGTCTTCAAATCTTAAACAGCTCTAGGACCTCCGCTTACTCTCAAATTCCATACGCTGTCGACCCAGATCTCTCTCTAGAGAAGGTGAAGGATGCTGCCCGTCTACTACCAAGTATCTACCTACAAACAATCGCGAGAATTCGAATTGCAATGCATCAAAACACGAAGCTCCAACACCCCCACTCCGAATTCCAGCTCCACCACATACCAAACGCAAATTCAGACTCTCTCTCCTGTTGCCCCTTCTATTGCCCAATTCGAAATTCCACATGGGATCCCCGCAAAAACCCACGTCATTGTTCCAAAACCTCTTCATAAGGTGAAATCTCACCTGATTACCGCAAGACCCGTTTGCGATTCCAATCCTCAAAATGCAAATAGACTGTGTCATTCATCTCATTTAGTGAAGGGCTGCCTTTCTTTAGCTTTACCTGGAAAACCACAATATCAGATGATTGGCATTCTACATTATTCTTGGGTCCCAAAGCAATGTCCTGTCTTGGTTTTGTATAGTGGCACTCATGGCACTCAATTGAATTTTTTTATACTTTCTATGCAGTTAGATTTTGTGACTATAAACATGCTTCAATAAAGAGCTAATTCTACTATATGTGAATTTCTAAATTTTCAACAATATTATCTTTACAGGAATGTTAAATAGATCCAAGCTTTTACTAAATTGACCCACCCATTCTAACCATCAAAAAGAAAAAATAAATAAATAATAAAAAATAAATGACCTCTACATATCTTTATATTATATTTGTATTTTTAAGATTGATTACATGAAAAATGTACAATAATGATAAAATGATATGGTGATAAAAGTGATATCATCACTTTGTTTTATATTACAAATATAATACATTACTTTGTATCTTTGCAATACACTTCTACTTCATAAGAATGCTAATATGTGCCATGCCATTGGCTAGATTTTTTTGTTTCTTTGTATGAAATATTTTGTGTTTTATCAAACCTCTTTATTTAATCCCTAGTAACTATAAACTATAATATCTTCAAAAACCAATTTTAGCCAAAATCCATATTGGTATAACCATTACATATTTCATCTACAATACTTTTTAGTAATTGTTTATATTATTTCAACATATCTAATACTTTTATTAGATATTGTCACTAGATGTTAAACATGATTTAATTCTATATTTTTTATTAACTTTTATATTTGTCAGAGATATTTTTATAATTATACAAATATTAAAATTTTATAATTAATAGCTTTTGAATTGATTGTAATGAATGTGGATATTATTAATATCTTTAAAATATCAATTAATTAAATTATTAAATTATAAATAAGGTGAAATAAAAAAATTAAAAATTTAAACATATTTTTTTATAATTATTTAAACGTTCAAAGTAAATTGTATGTTTATAGCTATTAAGGTGAAAAAAAAAGTAATTTTTTTATAAAATTATTATTTATTAATATTATGTCTTTTACTTAAAATTAGATGTTTATTAAAATACATTTGTTTACTTCTCTTATTTTCTTAACTTTAGCTATTTCAAATGATCCCTTGATGTTTTTAAAATCACCTTCTATTTTAAAATCTAAGTTTTTTTTTTAATAAAGCAAAATATATGTTGTTGATCACTTATGGTTTTTTCTGTTCTTTTTAAAGTTTATTATCATATTTTTTAAAAAATTAATAATATTTTTTTAAATAAATAATTTTTAAAAATGTATAGAAGCAAGCTCTTCTAATATATGACATTGTCCTACTCATTTTATATTAAGTAATATAGGACACTAATAAAGGACATGAAAGTAGGCTTCAATTCTTGTGTATGCCAAAGTTGTTTAGAAGAGATATTCTTGCATTTAAAGCTTAATAACTACCTACTATTGTTCTAAATTGAGTAAATTGTTCAATACTAAAAAGGTGTGTATATAAATATGCATGTATATATGTATATATAACCTCTACTAATAGCAACCATTCTATTAAATGTAAACAATTCATTTGCATAATATGTTTATATTTATTTTTAGTTAATTGTTTTGGTTTGATTTTTTTTGAATAGCTCATAGTAGTTATAATTACTTTTTTTAAAAAAAATCTTTGTGATTAGTTGTAAATATTGTTTATAGTTGAATATCTTTACTACTTACAATACTTTTCAATATTCCATATAATAACATTTCCCTATTAAAGAACAAAATAATTGTCTTGTTTCTAGTATTATCTAATTTTATATTTGTAAATTTGATTGTGTTGCTAAAACTATCAACAATAAAATTATACTTTATAAATTTGATTGTGTTTTCTACACTTCATAAAAAATATTATATATTCAAGACTTGTATAATAATATAATACCATAAAAAAATGGCAAGAATTATAAGTTTATTGACTTACAAAGTCTAAGTATTTGTTTAATTGACATTACACACAATTGTTAATGAAAATTTTTATATCATATTTCATGCTTAGCTAATAATACCACTTAACTAACTTAAATTTTATTATCTTTAGTTTTTTAAATTTAGTTAAATACTTATTATACATGTAGGTTAACATTTGCTTACACAAATATGAATTGAACTTTGTTTAAGAAACATATCAATTCCTTTCTTATAGGAATAGTTTTTTGAAGGACTTTTGAGGTTGGATTAATTGAACCCACTTTCATAGTTTAAACATTTTACAACACATTTATTCTCTTTGTTACTTTATTAAATTCTTTTTATACATAAAAAAATATTTGCTTTACAGCATGATTCTTAAATTTACAATGTTATGAAATTGAACATGTATAAATTCTTCTTTTTAGCTTTGTACATTTGGAACATGATTTCTTTTCTTTATAAATTAGAATAGATCATGTTTTATCACTGCAACTTGACATTTAACAAAAAAAAAACAAACAAACAAAAAATACTATTTAACTGATATAGATAGAGATGGAAACTCTGAATTTCTGAAATGAATAGTTAATTTGTAATAACATAATGATTTTCTAGCAACTAGAATAATTTTCAATACCATTCTATTTTCTTGATATCTATTGTAAATACATGTTCGGCAGATGCTAAAAGAAACCGATCTTCTCTAAAGTTAAAATTGCTTATGAAGAAATAATTAGAAAATCATTTAATAAACTATTGTATGTAGAGTTTGTGAGTTCAAAACCATCAAAAAAAAAAAAAAAAAATGTCCAGTTTGATGTGTCGGATATCTAAAACCTAAATTAGTTTTTTTTTATCTACCTTTTTTTACTGTATTATCATGGTTCATATTATATATGGTTAATATTTAAGTATCGTGATGCAAGTGAACAATCATGTAATCTTTTACAAATTGACTCATTCACAATGTTTATTATTAAGAACTTTGCCAATTTATTGATGAACTATCAACCAGTTTTACACAACGAAGTTGTTGATGAATTGTTGCTCATGAATTGCATGTTAAACAGTATCACCGAGGACCCACCCCAAGATCTCCTTTGTTTTCCAAGCCATAGCTTTGGTAATCTTTTATGAACACAATCGACGCGAATGGCTGCTCTTCAGGTAACATGGGTAGTTTACCTTCCTATAACAACCTATTTCATTACTCTATAGACTTCATTTATTACAGCATGGGCACTCGATGTTCTTTCTAGACATCAAATTCAGAACAAAGATTTTCTCTTCTAAGTTGTAGCAAAAGCTGTTACCAGTCGAATATGGTGTGATTCCATCTCAAAAATATAATGTAAGAAACAGATCAGGCAGAGGTTATTCTAGTGGGCCCGTAATCTCACAGCCACTGCTTGATATCTGCCCAGGTTCTGGTAACGAAGCTACAAAAAGGAAAACAAGAAAATCTCACTAATGTGTGACAGTGAACAGCCATTTCTTGCTTCACGCTTATTCGGTAATTAAAAACAAAAACAATACAAAAAACTGAAACTGCAACTTGAACACAACTACGAAGATCTCGAGAAGCAACACCATGAATCTAGTGCCCCCATGAACTCAGTACCAAATAGACTTCAATGTATTAGCTTGGATGTCATGTCTCGTCTTGGCTCCAGGGGGATCACAAGCACCACTTGCATCGTGCATGAAAAACTCCAATTCTTGACATAAACAAAATGTCTTCAATTCACACAGCTCCCAGTCCTAAAAATGGTGGACTCCACACACAAGATCTTGATGGGTCTTTGCAGAGTCAATGCAAACATACTCAGAGAGCGTGCAAGCAAGTGACTATTTATCTCCCACACCATGTGCAATCTACTTTCACCTTCGTACAGGCAGTACGCTACGATGTATTTTATAACTCAAGGAATTCATTGGTTGGGGAGGACTGTATGCGGGGACAAACAGTCAATTTCTACTAAATAACACACAACCATTGACTTTATCTGCACGATAACACAATTTAGAGATCACTAAAACGGACGCCAGGAAGCACATAAATAGATTTAATTCGATAACAAAAACATGCCATCAGGTTAAAATGCAGCCCATCCTCCTGCAGCACTGCCACTTCTGCTCCCCCCCATCTTTGTTGTGGTCGGCAAGTTCTTCTGTTTCAGATCAAATCATTGTCCACGCCAACATAATGTCAGAGCTATTAAAAAGTAGTGAACTTGTGAAGTGACGCATCGGATCAAAATAAAACGAAATGAAAAGAAGCTTCACTAAATCTAAGGACGATCTCAAAGTCAAAGTGTCACAGAATTGAGGCAAGTCTAGGAGAACTCATCACCACTCTACGCTGGCATTATTGACCAAGTACGAAAATAACTTTAACTTGAAGAAGTAGACCAATGGATCAGATCAAATAATCAGAAATATATGCCAGTCTGAAAACAGCAGTAAGTAAGAAACCAGATAAAGGAGTGATGAGAGGATGTCGCTTCAGCTACACAATAAAAATATACATAGATTACAGAAGCACAATCAGCTCCACAAGACTGATAACCCAGGATTAAAATAGCACTGTGCATTTGTGCAAAGTTGTATTTAGGTGGTGCATGGGCATGGAATACCTCAAGCTGGGATAAATCCGAAAACGGATCAGATGAGGACCTTCCTGAATCCCAGGACTTGTCAGAACCATGGGCAGATCCAAGACTAGATGCAAATGATGACCCAGAAGAAACAGGGCTAGAGCCAGAGCGTATTGTTTTGTTGTCATTTGGAGGAGGAGGTAATGGAGAACGGATGCGCCCGCCACCTGGCGGAGGTGCAAGTGGAGCCTTCATGCGACCTGTGCTGCTGATCGCATTAGTACTTCCCGTTGCACCAGATAACATACCCGTCCCAGTCCCTGGTTTTGTTGTCTTCACATTTATCCGTATTGTTTCTCCCTCCTAAAGACATATCGACAATTAAAAATTGTTAGTCCGAACACATACACGAAGAGTGTAATCAGCACACGAAATTATCGAACATAAACCTCTACACAAGTGCAATTGAATCAAAACGAAAAGCTTTAGAGTGAAAGGCATAGTACTAAGGTGTAGTCTACACGAAAATGGTATTTCGACAAGATAAATAATCTAGGTTGTTCGGATTACCGCGATAGCAAGAGAAATAAATTTAAAAAAAAACGCTAAAGCACATGACTTCAAATGGCTAACAGTCAACCTCAAAGAGAGAATTGCCAAAATGCCATAACAAGTAAAGCTACTAATTCAAACCAACTCTAAGTTCTAAGTATGATTCGTGAGTGAATGTGAAGGAATATGTTAACTCCACCATTGATATGTGGGCAGCATTCACATATTTGCAGAACCTACCCCCCCCCCCCCAGGCGCTCAGACAGCAGGAGAAGAAACCCACGTACAAATTCATAATGGATGTCAATACTCACATCCAAAACTAGAAAACGCGCATTAGCACACAAAGGGCATTAGTATAAGGTACATGGTCCGAACGAGGTTGGGATCTAACGAAGTGGCCAAAGGCTATGATAAACAGCTCCCGGACTGTGCTGACTCTCGATGCTCCCATTAATGAAAATATATGGACGATCAAACCCATGGAAAGCAAATCTCTTTCAATGTCGTCGACGATAACTTAGCAGACATTTTGAAGCCCAAACCCAAGATACTTTCTCAATCAAATTACAACACAGAAGTCCTGACAATAGATGGTCAATAACATTCACCTTCAGCCGCAAATCCAATGAAGGTTGGGCAGGAGTATCGTCCTTTGAAGATCCTCGAGTTTCTTCCTTCTCTGCTTCCCTCTTCACATACTTTTCATGATCAGACAATGCCACATTGAAATCGAAAGCCTCGTTTCTCTCTGCGAAACCCAACCCAATAAACGCATGCTTCCCTCTCCCATCGTCGATCCTTAGAACAAAATATCGTGACGAATCAACCACATTCTCCACTGTCACGTCTCTCTTCCCTGGTAATACTGGGCACGCCGCGAAAAGCTCCCCAGTGTTCGAATCCTCCAATCGGACCTCACACATGTCTTTCAAAGAAATAACCCTCAACCTCCCAGTCCAAATCTTGTCTGACTGAAGCCATTCCCCGCACTTGTAACCTCCGCTGGTGCCTCTTGGAGGTATTTTGTACACCGAAACTTCCCTGACAACAAGCAATGTGTGCTCCAGTGGCTCGTCATCAGCGTAGGACATTATGAATGAGCTAAACTCAAACTTTATAAGAGACTAACGCGTCCGATGTTCCAACTCTCGTCACCTCCTACCCAAAGACCTGTGATCGATTTCCAGATCCAGAAACAAAAATAATTCTACACCAAATTCAGCTCTGCAAAAGTTCACAAATTAGGTCTGCTTAGTCAAAATGTGAAGGAGAAGAAAGGTCAAACTGAAAAGCGTGTCGGAGATTCATCTACAACCAAAAAAATGAAATCACCTCTCTGCGATAGATTTAGCATTAACAATCCTGCTGTGTATAAGATCCGTACTAATTAAGAGCTGCTGGGAAAATATGAAGTGCGCTTCACGAAAGAGCAGAACTGACTCTCACTGAAGCGAGATCAATCAACAAACTAGAGCACCGATGCAACTTAGGGTTTCATGTTCCCTAAACTCAAACCCGCCAGCATCTCCAAACCACAACTCACAGATCTACACCTCTAATGCGTCTCCACAACTCAGCTTGCCACTGAATCAAAACCCACATAAACTATCAAACTTAAAAGCAAAGTGAGCCGAAACTCTTCAAACGACTCACAGCACACCCTCTGAAACCACAGTAAGCAACATACGCACCCCTAACAAAATGCCGCAACGAGCGCCAACACCGCTACCCTTGATCAACGCCTTGTAAACACGCGATGTCCGACAGGCGTCAGCCTAATCCGGATAAGGTCGAGTGGGCGATCAAGCAACTCTTAGAAACCGTTTCGCAGCATCTACAAAGATCCGTCAACGTTGACTCAGGAATTGAAGCAAAGCTTGACAACCTGCCCGCAACAAAATACGCTGAATGGAGACCCAACTGTCTGTCAATCAGCCGCGATGCAGTTTGCGACATTGGCAAATTGGGGGTCCCGAAGCTAAGAGGGCAGCGCGAGAAAACAGCGCCCCCCGACCTGGAGGAAGCACCCCCCCCCCCCCCCCGAACTATTCAACATTCTCCGGCCAGTGCCGCCCTTAGACCAAGCGCGGCTTCACTGCGATGCGCGATTCGCCAGAACCCGTGAAGCTCCTACGTGGCAGCGACGCCATTTTCCTACGTGGAACCTGACGTGGCGCCCGGTGTCAGCGGCAATATTAGAAAGGTCAACTCTTCGTCACGTTCTCCTTCTTCCAACCACTTTGGGGTTTCTTCCCCTTGCTTCATGCCATTGCTTGGAATGAAGCTTCGAAGAAGCCCAACCCTACTCCTCTCCCACGTCAGCATCCACGTAGACAGACTGTTGATAAACTTGCAATCGTTCAGAACTATCACTTCGTAACATTTTTTGTGAATAAAATGGCTTCTGTTTCTGTGGCTTTCCCCCAAATAATCCTGGAAAAACAGAATCGTACACATCAGCATAATTGTATTATTAACTCAAAAAAATCCCAAAGTTTTTTTTTAAAATAAAGGTAAGAATATGAAATTTTTATAAATTAAAAATTAAACACCTTGATTATTGTTTCCTTCAGACTAGTATGTTTGTACGAAATATTCTGGTAAAACAATAAAAAAACAGAATATAATATAATAAAATAATCTTATTTTATTGAAATATTGGGTTTCTATTAAATTATGTATATTTAAGAGGTCTTTTTTTAATTCAAGACAATTTAATGTGAGACTCAAGTTGCATTTTAATTTAACATGAGTTTGATGCCAAAAGCTTTAGCCAAGAAAATAAAAAATATTTTGATAAAACTTACAAGTGTTTTAATAAGTTCCAAGGATATAATATTCAACTCAGTATGTTGATATTGGATTATATTTAATTTTTTAAATGTAAAAAATATAAAATTAGTTTCAACTCATTATGTTTGTTTAAGTATTGTATTTTGATAAATAAAAATAAATAAATGTGTACATATAGGTAAAATTTTAAAAAAAATCTTGATGCATCACCTATATCTTATATCCAATATTTAAATAAAATATCAAGTGCTGTTAAAAAATAGCCACTTTCTTATTTTAACAAATGATTATTAAGAGATTGTAGTTTATTTTGTTGTAAATATTTTTAAAACTTGTAATTTTTAATTGATGTAAGATTTTCAAAAGTATTTTCTTTATAAGAAACGTATTAGTTTTATTCCTTTAAATTTTTTGGTTAAGTTTTCAGTTTTTGAATAAGAATGACAAAGATTCAAAGTTTTCTAGTTGGATGATAAACAAACTTCTATTTCACAAGTAATATAAATAAATAAATAAATAATAGATACATGATTTTTTATAAAATAACTAAACAGCTTGGTACATTACTTTTATTTTTATATTGTTATTGGAATTGATCAAAGTAATTTTAGAAATTCTCAAGATATTAAATATTAATTATCTACCAAACTTATTAAATAGTAGAGAACTAACTTATTTTTGTATTTTATAAGGTTAAGAATTTTTAAAAAAAAATTGTGTATGATCACAAAAATTATAAAAATGTACATTTGATTTGTTTTAAATTATTTGGACTTAATCGTTTTTTCAATGATATTTATAATTCGATGCCAATTAGTTTTTACAATGTGTGATTTAAAAGTTGAATGGACAATTAATATTTAAATTTATCTGAATTTTTGTTGTGATATTAATTCTTATAGTTTAGTTGATGATATAAATAATATATCTCAAATTGATTATTTTTCAAAAACATTATTTAATAGTCAACTAATTGCAATTAGTAAATTATCAAAGTAGCATAAAAACTATCAAATAAGTTCAAATTTTCTATTATGAATAAAAAGACTTTATTTATATCTTTTAAATCAACAATCATATTGTAACACACTATAACTTTTACTTTGGTGATGGTAAATAAAAATTAATACTTTATCAGTATTGTATAAGTAAACATATTATTTATATGTTATACTAGGTCTTAAGTCTCATCACAAGTAATTTTGCTAATTTTTGTGACAAATTTTCTAAAAAGATAATACAATTTGTTTTAAGTTATTTTTTGGAGTTGAATTAGAACTATGAAATCTATTATGCCATATGGAAAATATTTAAAACCCCTAACTATATTGGAATACTAGACTAATAATTCATAAATAATTTATAGTTTTTATATATGAATATGTATATAATCATAGATTTGATATTTTAAGTAAAATACAACTATACTCTGTCATAACATTTGTCCTCAAATTATTGTTTATCGTTACTCCAGTAGCCCTAAAAAAAAATTTAAATATTAAATCTGTTTACATATTAGAAAACATGCATGATGTGGTTGCTTTAATTTTGTATTAATGCAATGCTGTGCAAATTCTGATAGCTTGTTTTTGTCTATCAATATAAATAAGAACATCTCAATTAAAGTGAAGTAGAATAGTAAACCATTTTTTTTTATATAAAAATTTCAATCTTTATATCTAAATTCTTAAAGAAATTATTTTTGATATTTTTAATTCTTTCAAACAATTAAAATTTATCAATATAACAGTGTTGTTAATTGTTTTCAATCTTTTCATTTCTACAATAAAATTTGGATTTTTTTTTCCTTTATAAATATTCTAATATTGTGTCTATGAAGTTTTAAAATTTGTCTCGAATATATTGATATAAAATAGATTTATATGAATTATTAGCCTCTTATAGTACCTTCTATCATCAATTCTGAAATTAAATCTAGTTTTATTTATACTTAGATTAGTTTTTTTAATTTAAAGTAATAGTAGAATATATAAACATGTTCGGTTTTTTCTTTTTTTTTTTCTTTTTTTTCTTTTTAAATTAATACAATCATTACATTTTCTTGTAATAATCTTTGTTAGAAGAGAATTGCATGATGTAATGATTGCCAATTCTTTACCGAAATTATTTGGTAATGGTAAGAAATAATAGTAATATTGTGTATTAAACTTAGGAATGTGTGGTATGGTTTGACAATACTTCTTAGTTCCATACTAAATACAAAGATATTAAAACTTATAGCCATAAAAGTAGAAAAATAATGACATACACTATAACCTTAAAGATATTATTTAAACAATTATACATAATAAGATTATAGATTTATACCTAGAAATTAAAAAATAAAATTATCTTAATTCTAATAATAATTGTCTACGTATGGAATTATTTTATGATCTTAGATAAGTTATACTAAATATTGATATGATCCAATTCATATTCTCTTTAATATAACGTATCATTTAAAATTATTATTATTAATTTTTTTGTAAGATGGAGAAATATTGTAATTCAAACTTGAATTATAAAAGTTAGAGAATTTTAAAAAGAACTTGTGAGTGTTATTTAAATGATTGGTATTTTATGATAAAGAATTAAAAATTATCAAGTTATTTGGATATAATAATTATATGGTAAATACTTTATATATTTTATAAGATAATTACTAATATTATAACATCTAATTATTATTCTACCAACACTAATTATTAGAATTTAATTGGAATTTTAAAAGAGTTTTCTATGTATTTATATTGACATCTTTTGGTTTTATTTTTATTATAAAAATAATTTAGATTGAAAAGACATAAGACATGAATTTTTAAGAAATAATTATATTTTTTTAAGAATTTATTCATAATAATTTTAAAACCTACCAAAAGTAAGTTTGTTGTAATCAAATATACATAGATTGCAATTATTATATTAAGGAATAAAGAATAGAGAAACAACAATTAAATAATACTTAGCTAAGAATTTTAGTGTATATAGTTTGTATAGTAATATAAATATTATAAATAATTGTATCTTATTTTACAATATATTAGCATTTAATAGATCTAAGGCATAGATGATCCATATTACCATGTTTGTTTTTTTTTATGATTTGGTATTTTTAAATAGGGATTGTTATTTATCATTTAAAAAATTTAAAAAAATATAAAAGAAAAAAATTCATAAAATTTTAAAATTTAAATACATATATTTTTAGAAAAAAATAAAAATATATTTTTATTATTAAAATAATCATACTTCATTTTTTACAGAAAATAAATAAATGATTTTTTTGAAACAACTCCTACAAAAATAATAAAAGAAATCATAAATTCATAAGAGTGAAGAAAATTTATAAGCTCTTATTAGTATTTTGATGATATTTATTTATTTTTATATAAAAAATTGATAATTTTATTTTATTTTAAGAATTTAAATCACCTTACAAGATCTTTGCTTCCAAAAGCCTATTATAAAGGCTATGGATGAAAAGACTTACTAAATTTTTTTACTTTGTGAATAAATAATCTCTTTTAGTAGCTTTGATCTTTGGATATAGTATAAAGTGTGAAGAAGACGTAAAAATTATATATATATATATATATATATATATATATATTTATACATATATTTTATGAAAATCTAAATATTTTAGCTTGTAACTTGATTCTATCAATTATGAAAAGTACAAAAAATATAATTTTAAAGTTTTTATTTTTATATTTTGGAATTTCGATATAGTCTTTTAATTTTTTAAAAATACTACATCTTAAGATGGACCTAACATAAGATTAAGAAATAATGCTATTTATGCCATATAAGAAAAAATACATTCTATCTTAACTTTTCTTCTTTACACCTTTGGACCAATTATTATGAATTTAAAGCCAAATAAGTG